ACAAAGCTTGGAGTACAGTTTGCCTCTTCTGAGTAATTCAGTCAGGTCTTGACACTGAAGGTGGTATCACTTCTCACTGCCACGCAGGACAGAGGTTCATACACAAAGGAATAGATCATATTCATTAACAGTATATATAGGTCAGAGTCATGTGGGTGATGTCACTGTTCACTGCCAGGTGGCCTAAAGTCTTTGACAGTGTCACATTCAATAATATAGTGTTCAAGTGTTATGCCTTAGAGGTTTATCACAAAGTTTACAGCTGAGTGTTCCGGTATGGGTACAGCGTTGAGGCCGGGCGGATCTAGGAGGTACTGGGTGAAAAGAGTTTATTCCTCTTTGAACGACCTTGTGGCTTCCTATTTGGCCTCTTTCTTCTCTTCGTCTCCCATGGTCTACTCTTCCTCCTCTTCCTCTTCTTCACCCATGCCTTCCTCTTCCTCCTCCTCTTCTTCCTCTTCTTCACCCATGGTCTCTCTCCTCCTCTTCTTCCTCTTCGTTACCCATGGTTTCCTTCCTCCTCCTCTTCCTCTTCTTCACCCATGGCCTCCTCTGCCTCTTCACCCATGGCCTCCACCTCCTCCTCCTCCCTCTTCTTCAACCATAGCTTCCTCTTCCACACCCATGGCCTCCCTGCCTCTTCACCCATGGCCTCCACTTCCTCCTTCTTCTTCTTCAACCATGGCCTTCTTCCTCACCCATGGCCTCCTCTTCCTCTTTATTCACCCATTATCTCCTCTTCCTCACCCGTGTCCTCCTCCTCCTCCTCCTCCTCCTCCTCCTCCTCCTCCTCCTCACCCATGGCTTCCTCCTCCTCTTCTTCACCCATGGATTCTTCCTCCTCAATTGGTCTCATTCCTCCTCTTCCTCCCCTTAGGCTTGCATTGGTGGCCTTCTCATCCTCCCTCCTCCTCTCTCTCCTCCTCTTCCTCCCCTTAGGCTTGGATTGGTATCCTCTCATCCTCCTTCTTCCTCCCACCTCTGAACACCACCTCTCCTCCTTACAGTTCACTTACTCATAGATACTTCCCTACCCCCCACCTCCACCCCCTCACCCCACCCCTCCATCCCCACCCCTCCACCCCTATGCTGGGTGGAGGTTTATGGATAGCAGCGATTCCCTAAACTCGACGGCGATTCTGCTGACGAAGACGATCCGTATCCTGAATGGGTCACTTTTTTTTAGAGGAGGGAGGAGGGGGGAAGAGGAGGGGAATAGGAAGAGGAGGAGAAGGAAGAAGAAGAGGAGGAGGAGGAGAAGAGGAGAGGGAAGAGAAGGAGGAGAAAGAAGACAGGCAAACTCACCACTTCATCAAATCACCATCCATTAGAATATGACTCCTAATGTATATGAACCTCTGTCCTGTGTGGCAGTGAACAGTGATATCACCCTCAGTGTCTAGACCTGACTGAATTACTCACAATAGGCAAACTGTACTCCATTAGTGAGGGTCTCCACTCCTGAGGTTAATACACTTAGAAAAAAAGATTGATTGATCCATTTTTGTTTATGTTTGATATTTACAAGAATTTTTGTGGTTGTTTCTTATTGTATCGTTCATAAGCTTCTCCTAAACATACTGAAATGTTTAAGTTAGGTTAGGTTAGGTTAGGTTAGGTTAGGTTAGGTTAGGTTAGGTTAGGTTAGGTTAGGTTGAGTTAGGTTAGGTTAGGTTAGGTTAGGAGTAGGTTTGGTTTAGGTTTGGTTTGGTTTGGTTTTGGTTTGGTTTTTGGTTTGTGTAGGTTTTGTTTGGTTAGGTTTGGCTAGGTTTGGTTAGGTTTGGTTTGGTTAGGTTAGGTTTGGCTAGGTTTGGTTTGCTTTGTTTGGTTAGGGTTGGTTTGGTTAGGTTTGGTTTGGTTTGTTTTGGTTAGGTTAGGTTTGGTTTGGTTTGGTTAGTTTTGGTTTGGTTTGGTTTGGTTAGGCTTGATTTGGTTTGGTTTGGTTTGGTTACGATGGTAGAAAAACACACTCGTGGTATATAAGGTCCGTCACCTTCAGGAGACTTATTACAGTGAGTCACGGGGTTGAGTCACGAGGTTGAGTCGAGTTTGATCACGAGGTTGAGTCACGAGGTTGAATCACAGGGTTGAGTCACGGGCTTGAGTCACAGAGTTCATTCACGGGGGTTGAATCACGGGGTTGAGTCATGGGGTTGAGTCACTGGGTTAAGTCACTGGGTTGAATCACGGGGTTGAGTCACTGGAGTTAGGTCACGTGGTTGAGTCACGAGGCTGAGTCACTGGGTTGAGTCACTGGTGATCACGGGTGTTAAGTCACTGGGTTGAATCACGGGGTTGAGTCACGAGGTTGAGTCACTGGAGTTAGGTCACATGGTTGAGTGCGAGGATGATTCACGATTCACTGGGTTGAGTCACAGAGTTGAGTCATGGTTGAGTTGTTCATGGTATAGTAGGTAAGAGTTGTACCGTAAGAGAGAGGAGAGGAGGAGAGGGAGAGGGGGGAGAGAGAGAGAGAGAGAGAGAGAGAGAGAGAGAGAGAGAGAGAGAGAGAGAGAGCCGTACGATAAACTTTTAATATTTACGGAAGAAACATTAATAATAATCCAAAGTAAACAACAAAAATACCTATACATTACTCATACATACTGTACATATGCATACATATAGGCTGGAAGGTGGAGAATTAAGGTCAAAGTCGCTTGAGGAAGATAGTATATTAGGGTAAGGGTCGTTTCAGATAAGTGGGGTGTTTGTGGGGGATGGTGGATTTGGGTCGTAAGCTGAAACCTATCAGCAAACTTGAATCAGAAATTGACATATTATTCAAAAATGTATAACTTAGAGACGTGTAGGACAGGTAGGGAGGGAGTAGGTACCAGGAGGGAGGGAGGGAGGGAGGGAGGGAGGTAGGTAGGGAGGGAGGGAGGAGGGAGGGAGGTAGGGAGGAATGAGGTAGGTAGGGAGGGAGGGAGGGAGGGAGGGAGGGAGGGAGGGAGGAGGGAGGTGGGGAGGGAGGGAGGTAGGGAGGAGGTAGGAGGTAGGTAGGTAGGGAGGGAGGGAGAGGTAGGTAGGGGAGGGAGGAAGAAGTGGATTTAAGATATATGGAGGGAGAAGATGGGGAGTGGGGTGAAGATAAGTGGCTTGAAGGGGGTGAAGAGATGGTTTAGTTTGGGGAGGGAGATGGATTGGTAGAATTAGGGACGGAGGGATGGGTGAGTGGAGGGATCAGAGGAGGAATAGAGAAGGATAGAGAGTTCGGGTAATAGTGACAGTGGTGGGTGGTTAGAAGTGGAGTGAGCAGATACGGATAGGTGGGAATGGATAGAGAGGGGAAAGAGATGGATGTATAGGGGAGGAAGGACGGGGATGGATAGACACATATGAATAGTGAAGAGATGTGAAGGAAGGACATGTGTGTGTGTGTGTGTGTGTGTGTGTGTGTGTGTGTGTGTGTGTGTGTGTGTGTGTGTGTGTGTGTGTGTGTGTGTGTGTGTGTGGAATGAAAACATGGATAGGAATAACACACAGACTCAGAAATTTTGAAAATAAGAAGGCAATGGGGAGAAACACAGGTAATGGGGGAGGAAACACAGGTACTGGGGGAAACACAGGTATAAAGGAGGGAAGCACAGGTAATGGGAAACACAGGTAATGGGGGAGGAAATATAGGTAATAAAGGAGGAAACACAGGTAATGGGGGAGGAAGCACAGGTAAATGGGGTTGGAAACACAGGTAATGGGGAGGGAAATATAGGTAATAAGAGGAGGAAACACAGGTAATGGGGAGGGAAACACAGGAAATGGGGAAGAAACACAGGAAATGGGGGAGGAAACACAGGAAATGGGGGAAACTCAGGTAATGGGGGAGGGGAACACACAGGTAATGGGGAGGGACACACAGGTAATGGGGAAACACAGGTACTGGGGAGAAATATAGGTAATAAAGGAGGGAAACACAGGTAATGGGGGAGGGAAACATAGGTACTGGGGGGGGTGGGAGGTAATAGAGGAGGAAACACAGGTAATGGGGAGGAAACACAGGTAATGGGAGGAAATATAGGTAATAAAAGGAGGAAACACAGGTAATGGGGGAGGAAACACAGGTAAATGGGGTTGGAAACACAGGTAATGGGGAGGAAATATAGGTAACCAGAGGAGGCTTACAGGTACTGGGGAGGAAACACAGGTAATGGGGGAGGAAATATAGGTAATAAGAGGAGAGGAAACACAGGTAATGGGGGAGGAAACACACAGGAAATGGGGGAAGAAACACAGGAAATGGGGGAGAGAAACACAGGAAATGGGGGAGGAAACACAGGTAATGGGGGGAGGGAAACTCAGGTAATGGGGGAGAACACACACAGGTAATGGGGGAGGGACACACAGGTAATGGGGGAGGGAAACACAGGTAATGGGGAGGAAATATAGGTAATAAGAGGAGGAAGCACAGGTAATGGGGGGAGGAAACACAGGTAATGGGGAGAAGAAGAAACACAGGAAATGGGGAGGAAACACACAGGAAATGGGGGAGGCTTACAGGTAATGGGGGGAGGGAAACACAGGTAATGGGGTACCAACAAACAGGACTTAATGTAATAAAATCCAGACAATTTATTACTTGGACCAGACGTGAGGTGTTTCTGGCCTGTGGTGGGAACGATGGGAGGAGGAGGAGGAGGAAAAGAAGGAGGACTAAGAGAGAGAGAGAGAGAGAGAGAGAGAGAGAGAGAGAGAGGTCGGGAGAAGAAGAAGAAGAAGAAGAAGAACCTCTCAATAAATCATCTCAAGGGATAAACAAAAAATTCAAAATAAAAACTTAATGTATTTTTTTTTCTTCACATTTCACTTCTTTCCGGTAATTAACCCAATTTTCAACATCAAACAACTGATAAATCTTGAAGCTTTTAACCAATTACAAGTTAGAGAGGAAAGAGAGAAGTTCAAATACTGTACCGTTCGTGTGAGATTCTTAGAGGAGGCATGACTGGGAGTTATAGATTTGGGCCATAGTTGAAGGATATGTTAAATGGTCACAGGTTTTAATGGGCCCCAGAACTAATAGGTCCAGGTTCTAATAGGTACAGGTTCTTATGAGTTCCAGAACTAATAGATCCAGGTTCTAATAGGTCCAGGGTCTTATGGGTTCCAGAACTAATAGGTCCAGGTTCTAATAGGTCCAGTGTCTTATGGGTTTCAGAACTAATAGATCCAGGTTCTAATAGGTCCAGGGTCTTATGGGTTCCAGAACTAATAGGTCTAGGTTCTAAAAGGTCCAGGTTCTTATGGGTTCTAGAACTTATAGGTCCAGGTTCTAATAGGTCCAGTGTCTTATGGGTTCTAGAACTAATAGGTCCAGGTTCTAATAGGTCCAGTGTCTTATGGGTTCCAGAACTAATAGATCCAGGTTCTAATAGGTCCAGTGTCTTATGGGTCCCGGTTCTAATAGGTACAGGATCTTATTGGTCCAGGTTCTTATGGGTCCCGGTTCTAATAGGTCCAGGGTCTTATGAGTCCCGGTTCTAATAGGTCCTAGTGTTAATGAGTCCCAGTTCAAATAAACCTCAGTTCCAATGGGCCCTATTTATGATGGGGTCCAGACCTAATAGTCCCTAGTTCTAATAGGTAAGAGTTCTAATTGTTTTCAGTCGTCCTATACACCCGTTCTAATAGACCCTAGTCCTAATGGGCCCTAGCTTTAATACGCCCTTGTTCTAATAGGCTGTAGTCCTAATAGGTCCCTGTATTATTAAGCCCTCGTTTCAGTAGTGTGTGTGTGTGTGTGTGTGTGTGTGTGTGTGTGTGTGTGTGTGTGTGTGTGTGTGTGTGTGTGTGTGTGTGTGTGTGTGTGTTCGAATGTAAATAAATATGTATGTATGTTAATTACACATGACAGTCTACAGACACTCACACAGTTATCAGTACAGGTTAACGATGACCTGCCTGCCTGCCTGGTCCCTCACCCCACACTCACCTGCCATTTACCTGTTAAACCAATATAAACGTTGTCACAATTACACTTCAATCCTTATGACATGGGATTAGGGGATTGGTGCTTCTGGATTGGAGATTGGATAAGTGGATTAGTAAAACAAGAAGAACACAGGATTAGAGAAGTAGATTACGCGGATAAGGAAGGAAGATCACCAGAGTTAGGATGTACAAGAAAAATTTTAAAAGCATAAAAAGGAAAGAGAATTTAAGCGACACAATTTAACGGGATTACATTTGTAAATTGGATGATTAGATGATTAGAACTGCTTAATTGTTAGCTGGGGATGTGGATTAGGCGGACAGGGGCAGCCAGCGGTCAGTGAATAATGCGGTCACTGGCCTCTATAGAACCGTGTAATTAACTATGTATATTTGTGTCATACTTCAACAGCCGTAACAGCTACAGTACCCAAACATGGTGTAATTATTGTCCATACAGACCAGTTTGAGGTCATAAGGTCAAATATTAAGGTCACGGCTGTAAAACATGTGGTAAAAGATTGTTGTCATGGGCTGTCGCCTCGCTCGGGTACAGTACAGTTGTTATAGTGTTTTGTTGATGTTAAATTAGGAGTTAAAATTATATAAACACACACACACACACACACAGAGTTGGGATGCATTAACTTGGTGTTTGAGAGAGTATTGACACTTTCATTACAGTCTACATAAATTTCCTACACGTAATTTACTCTACAGTGTTCTGATCTACATGTAACCTCTTGTTCTTGTTATCCTGAGGGGCAGGAAGGATACAGTACACTGTAACCCAAATGTCCTGGTTTTGGGGTAAATCGGTGGTGTATGAGTGGATTATATTATATAAAGATAATATGTCGTATTTCTTATTTCTTACCGTAGAGTTCGATAGCTTCACACTGGTTACTTACAGGAGATTATGGCGTATCTACGTAGAAGTTCACTCCACCACTCGACATTCCATGATTTATACTTGATAAATGATGATTTAATGAGTTCCATTAAATTCCAACATCCATCTAAGTTATTGGTTATACTTTGTCATAACCAATCAGTCATTACCTTTAGTAATAATAAGATAGGATCACAGATACGGGCAGATAATTGCACTTACATTAATTTGTCAAGCTTCCATACAATGATTTACAAGTTGCATGGATATATGAATCACTCACGTTCACGCTATAATAAAATTAATCTTCTAAAAGAGAATTTTCAACTTGGGGACACATGTGATTACTTTACTATGGCTATGACTTCACAGAGCCTTAATTCTTCAAGTGATACATTTATTGTCAGCCTGGATTGCCTTTGTTGCAACTAGGCTTCCACACAAGAGCTTCTTTCCACGGCCATAACAACAAAAGGTACTTTTGGGTTACCACACATAGTCTCGCGTCACTGACAGTCACTGTAGACGGTTGTCGCGGCAAGCAGAACTGGTAAGCGTGAATTAATTAACCATTTAGGTGCAATAGACCAGCCTGGATTGCTTTTGTCGCAACCAGGCTTTCACACGTGATATTTCCACGGGGATAACAAACCTAGGTTAACACACTTAGTCTCGTGTCGATCACGGTCACTGTAGACGGGTGTCGTGCAGGAGAACTCTGTAAGCGTGAATTAATTAACCATTTACTGTAGGTTTGATAGGCCAGCCTGGTTTGCTCTTGTCGCAACCAGACATCCACACGTGATATTTCCACGGGGATAACAACCTAGGTTAACACGCTTAGTCTTGTGTCGACGACGATTCACAGGACGGAGTGGCGGTGGAGGACTCTGTGTGGTGTGGTGTCCCGCTCCCTTTCAGGAGGGAGAGAGTCAAGACGACTTCTTAACTAACCCATGGCTCAGGGGATACTACTTAAAATGAGGTTTTTGGGTGTGAAGCGATGAACAGTACAACACTGTTTCACTGCCCACCCCCCCTAAAGGCTGGCTAACATACACTAATGGAAATACATGTCCCAGTTATGCCTCGCCGGGTGTCTTATCTCTAGTAAAACAAACTTTGGAGTTGGTTGTGTGGGTAAGCCTAACGCAACCCATGACACCAAACCTAACCTAACCTCACCAAACTTTTTTTCACTACACAAAAATTGGGTACTCTTGCACAGCTGGGTGGACTGAGGGCGCCCAGGATTCGAACCAGTGACCTCTGAGGCTTGTGTTATAACCACTATGCCGCCGCACCCTTGATAGTGACTATGTTTATTAGTTTATAGCAGCCATTGTGTGTCTCTATTTTATTCATTTCCTCTTATCTACCTCCTTTATTGCCCATTCTCCTGATTCTTCCTCCATCTCCGTTCTCCTCCTTCTTCACCTCCATTATCTCCTCCTCTTCTTCCTCCTTTTCCTTCCTCCTCCTCCTCCTTTCCCTCCCTCGTCTTTTCCCTCCCTCGTCTACCTCCCTTCCCTCTTCCTCCTCGTCTTTCCTTCCCCTACCTATTCTCTCCTTTTCACTACCGCTCTCTTTCCTCTTCGTCATCTTTCCCCTCTCCCTTCTTCCTCCTCCTCCTCCTCCTCCTCCTCCTGATTCCTTAGTCTCTTTTCTTTTCCCTCGTTAATCCATCTATTATCATCTCTTCTATTGCCTCCCCTTCCCATCTCCTCACTTACGGTGTTTGATCTGTCCTCTCTCTCTCTCTCCCTTCCCTCTCCTTTAAGCTTTCTCTTTCATTCCTTCTTTCTTTCTCTATCGGCTTCCATCCCTTTATCTCTCTTCCCCACCCTTCTTATCTCTCTCTCTCTCTCTCTCTCTCTCTCTCTCTTTGCCCCTTCATTTCTTTTCATTCTCTCTCCTTTTTATTGCTTTCTCTCTCCTGTCTCTTTCTCCTATCTTTTCTTTTGTCATCGCTTTCTCTCCTTTCTCCTTTACTCTACCTTCTTTTTCCTTCTTTATCAACTCATTCCATCTCCCTCAAGCTTACAATGAACCAATATATTACTTTTAATTTATTTATTTTATTAATTTATCTGTTTATTTTTATTAATTTATTCATATTATGTATTTATTCATTTTCTATAAAGGGAGGACTGCTTTTGTTTCTAAATACGATTGTGTAAGTGAAGAGGAGGGAAGGAAGGGGGGAGGAAGGGGGTACGAGAGGAAGGGAGGAAAGGAGGGAAGGAGGGAAGAGGAGGAGGAGAGGGGAAGAGGAAGGGGAGGAAGGAGAGGGTACGAAGAGGAAGGAGGAAGGGGAGGGAGGGGGGAAGGAGGAAGGGGGGAGGGTACGAAGAGGAAGGAAGGGGAGAGAGGGTAGAGAGAAGGGAGGAAGGGGAGGAGAGGGCAGAAGAGGAAGGGGAGGAAGGGGAGGAGAGGGTACGAGAGGGAGGAAGGGAGGAAGGAGGAGGAGGGTACGAAGAGGAAGGGAGGAAGGGGAGGAGAGGGTACGAAAGGAAGGGAGGAAGGGGGAGGGAGGAAGAGGAAGGGGAGGAAGGGGAGGAGAGGAAAGAGGAAGGGGAAGGGGGAGGAGAGGGAGGAAGGGAGGAAGGGGAGGAGAAGGGAGGAAGGGAGGAAGGGGGAGAGAGGGTATGAAGAAGGGAAGGAAGGGGGAGGAGAGGAAGAGGAAGGGAGGAAGGGGAGGAGAGGGCAGAAGAGGAAGGGAGGAAGGAGGAGGGGGTATGAAGAGGAGGGGAAGGAAGGGGGAGGAGAGGGTATGAAGAGGAAGGAGGAAGGGGAGGAGAGGGAGAAGAAGGGAGGAAGGGGGAGGAGAGAGGGTAGAAGAGGAAGGGAGGAAGGGGGAGGAGAGGGTATGAAGGAAGGAGGGGGGGGAGGGAGAGGGAGGAAGGGAAGGAAGGGGGAGGGAGAATGAAGAGGAGGGAGGGAAGGGGAGAGATTAGGGGAAAGAGGAAGGGAAGAGGAAGGGGAGGAGGGGAGGAGAGGGTACTAAGAGGAAGGGAGGAAGGGGGAGGAGAGAGGGTACGAAGAGGAAGGGAGGAAGGGGAGGAGAGGGTACGAAGGAAGGGAGGAAGGGAGGAAGGGGGAGGAGAGGGTATGAAGAGGAAGGGAGGAGGGGGAGGAGAGGGCATGAAGAGGAAGGGAGGAAGGGGGAGGAGAGGGAGAGGAAGGGAGGAAAGGGGAGGAGAGGGTATGAAGAGGAAGGGAGGAAGGGGAGGAGAGGGTACGAAGAGGAGGAGGAAGGGGAGGAGAGGGCATGAAGAGGAGGGAGGAAGGGAGGAGGAGGGTAGAAAGAGGAAGGGAGGAAGGGGAGGGAGAGGGTACGAAGAGGAAGGGAGGAAGGGGGAGAGGAGGGACGAAGAGGAGGGAAGGAAGGGGAGGGAGAGGGTATGAAGAGGAAGGGAGGAAGGGAGGAGAGGGTATGAAGAGGAAGGGAGGAAGGGGAGGAGAGGGTACTAGGAGGAAGGGAGGAAGGGGGAGGAGGAGGGTACAAGAGGAAGGGAGGAAGGGGAGGAGAGGGTACGGAGAGGAGGGAAGGAAGGGGGAGGAGAGGGTACTAAGAAGAAGGGAGGAAGGGGGAGGAGAGGGTATGAAGAGGAAGGGAGGAAGGCGGAGGGGAGAGAAGGAAGGGAGGAGGGGAGAGAACGAAGAAGGAGGAAGGAGAGGGAGGAAGAAAGAGAAGGGGGAAGGGGGAGAATGAAGAGGGAGGAATGAGAGGAGGGAAGAAAGAGAAGGAAGGGAGGGGGTGAAAAAGATTCTTCTCCCTAATAGTAATTACCCACATAATAAAACAGGTCTTTGTAATCTATGTTAAAAATTACCTCAAAGCCCCTGTGGTAGGTGGTAGGGGCCGCCTCCAGACCCCATACACCACGAGACACACAAAGCAACACGATACAACACACACGTAGAATGGATGACAAAATACCGAACCAGGATCCGAAGCCTCAGAGATTCATTCGCTAAATCTCATATCTGGGGCAATTGACACTTTACCAGATGAATCCTTAAGAGGTGTTAGGATGCATTATTTTTTTTTACCTTAGTTTAGGGAACATTTAGTTGTAACATTTAAAGGTTTGGATTCATTTAACTTGCGAACTTT